GTGGACGTCAGCGGCGATGGGACCCTGTCCCACAGCTACCAGTATGAGGTGTGTCTGAGGGGAGGGTCTGGGACCGGCGAGTTCAAGTTCGTCAAACCCATTATCCCCAATATCCAGGCACAGAGCTCTGGGAGGAATAGTGAAGAAAATCCCACCTTTCGAAATAGCTTTGGATTTAATTTTCAGTAAAAATTCTTTTTATATTTGCATTTACTTTTACGTGCTGTACTATAATATCCCTATTAGTTTAGTTTCAAAACTCCTACTTATTGTGCCGGTTCAAGACTAATTTTAAGTGCTATCTATCTGTTTTACAATGTTATTTCATCCTTCTTCCCCTTAATAGCTAGCTTTAATTAGCATCCTATTCTAAATAATAGTTTTAAGGTTTAATTATTTCAAAATGTGCAAGGATTTAGTTATTATTTCTTAGCTAGAGAACAAGTTTTTACTTTTCTCCTAGTATATTTCATAGACTAACCTCTTGATCCTAATCACCTTGTACTTCCTTCATGTAAGAAGACATACCTTCACTTCTGACCTTATCTAACATTCTATTTAATCATATTTTTAAGAACCATGTCATCAAGCATTTAAAAAGCAATATTTCTCTATTACTCTGCTCATGACACAGTGAGGTCATTTTGTGAGTGATATTGGGCTCATAAGATATCTTGTAGTCATATTATTCATTTTCCTTAAACACACTACTCTTACAGTTTTTTAGTGTTCACTTTTGCTGACACATGTAAAATAGGTCATGTCTTACAATTCCAAGGAAATGTAATAATCTGCATGAAAATGAAAATAAAAACATTTTGAAAAGTTTTGTGAGAATATTGGTGGATTGTTGGAAAGCTAGTCACTTTTCATTTCATTCTGTAAATTTATTTTAGTTGTTAAGAAAATTTAAAATCAGGGTGCTTGAGGGGCTCAGTCCTTAAGCATCTTCCTCTAGCTCAGGTCATGATCCCAGGGTTTTGGGATGGAGCGCTGAATTATGCTCCCTGCTCTAGCAGAGTCTACTTCTCCCTCTCCCACTCTCCCTGCTTGTGTTTCTTCTCTTGCTGTCTCTTCTGTCAAAGAAATAAAATATTTAAAAAAAAGAGAATTTAAAATCAAGATGAACTGAAAGTCATGAAGAAAAACAATAAATTCTTTTTTTTAAGATTTTATTTATTTATTTGACAGATCACAAGCAGGCAGAGAGGCAGACAGAGAGAGAGGAAGAAGCAGGCTCCCCGCTGAGTAGAGAGCCCAATGGGGGGCTCGATCCCAGGACCCTGAGATCATGACCTGAGCTGAAGGCAGTGGCTTAACCCACTGAGCCACCCAGGCACCCCCAAAACAATAAATTCTTCAGTCTCCATGCCCATCCTACAGAGTAGTTTATCTAGAATTGCTCTCAATATTTCTAAGTAATATTTTTATACCAGTGTATCATAATATTGACTTTTATACTTAAATCACTTATTCCTGTGGTAAAAAAGGATTTCAATTTCTTACTTTCCAACTAACGCACATCAGAATATTGTATGTGCCTTCTCTCCTATTCTCCCAATAGAGATGTGATTTTTTTTAAGTTAAACTAGTAGTTTTTGTCTATATTACCAAGATTACTTCAAAATACACATTAGTTTAATATGATTACATTTCCTTTCTTGAAAAACTTCATTCTGAGGGTTGATCATTGTTTTCACTTACATCATTTTCTTTTTACTATTATTGATTTTTCATACTATCTCTCATTTGAGTGAGAGGTATTTCTTTTAAATATTAAAAAAGTCATATACATATAAATTTATTTCAGATCTTCACCCAGATCCTTTTGTATGTCTGATTCATTGGCACTGGTTGTTCTTTTTTTTTTTTAAGTTTTTGTTTAAATTCCAGTTCGTTAACATATAATGTAATATTAGTTTCAGGTGAACAATTTAGTGATTCAGCACTTCCATATAATGCCCAGTGCTCATCGAAGTAAGTGTCCTCCTTAAGCCCCATCACCCATTTCACCATCCCCCAGCCCACCTCCCCTCTGGCAACCATCATTGTGTTCTTTATACAGTTCCTGGGGCACTTGGGTGGCTCAGTCGGTTAAGCATCTAACTCTAGGTTTTGGCTCAGGTCATCATCTCAGTGTCATGATCTCAGGGTCCTGAGATCCTGCCTTAATTCAGACTCCCCGGTCAGAGTCTCCTTGGGATTTCTTTCTTCCTTTCTCTCTGCACCCCATCCCTCGAGCTTTCTCGATAAAATAAATAAGTAAATCTTTTAAAAAACAGTTTTCTTCGTTTTCCTCTCTCTCTTTTCCCCTTATGATCATTCATTTTGTTTCTTAAATTCCACATATGAGTGAGACCATATGGTATTTGTCTTCCTCTGACTGACTTGCTTAGCATAGTACTCTTTGTATTATGTATACTCTTTGAGGTTACAAAAGGCAAGATTTCATTCTTTTTTTTAAAGATTTTATTTATTTATTTGACAGACAGAGATCACAAGTAGGCAGAGAGGCAGATGGAGGGTGGGGGCAGAAGCAGGCTCCCTGCTGAAGCAGAGAGCCTGATGCAGGACTCAATCCCAGGACCCTGGGATCATGACCTGCGCCAAAGGCAGGGGCTTTAACCCAATAAGCCACCCAGGCGCCCCAAGATTTCATTCTTTTTATAGCTGAGTAATATTTCACTCTCTCTCTCTTTATATATATATAAATAGAAAGCTATAGATAAAGTAAGTTAGAATAGATGTATATATAGATATCTATATCTATATATCTATCTATGTATGTATACCACATCTTACTTTATCTATTCATCAGTTGATGGACATTTGGGTTCTTTCCATAATTTGTGGTTGATAATGCTGTTATAAACCTTCAAATTAGGGCGCCTGGGTGGCTTAGTGGGTTAAAGCCTCTGCCTTCTGCTCAGGTCATGATCCCAGGGTCCTGGGATCGAGCCCTGCATCGGGCTTTCTGCTCAGCAGGGAGCCTGCTTCCTCCTTTCTCTCTCTGGCTGCCTCTCTGCCTACTTGTGATCTCTGTCTGTCAAATGAATAAATAAAATCTTTAAAAAAAAACCTTCAAATTAGTATTTTTGTATTCTTTGGGTAAATACCTAGTAGTGCAATTGCTAGATCATAAGGTAGTTATATTTTTAACTTTTTGAGGAACTTCCATACTGTTTTCCAGAGTGGCTGCACCAGCTTGCATTCCCACCAACAGAGGGTTCCCCTTTTCCTGAATCCTTGCCAACACCTGTTATTTCTTATGTTGTTGATTTTTAGCCATTTTGACAGGTGTGAGGTGATATGTCATTGTAGTGTTGATTTGTATTTCCTTGATGATGAGTGGTGTTGAGCATCTTTTCATGTGTATATTGGCCATCTCTATGTCTTCTATGGAAAAATGTCAATTATGTCTTCTGCCCATTTTTAAGCTGGATTATTTGTTTTGGGGTGTTGAGTTGTATACTTTTAAAAAAGATTTATTTGACAGAGAGAGACAGCGAGAGAGGGAACACAAGCAGGGGGAGTGGGAGAGGGAAAAACAGGCTTCCCACTGAGCAGGGAGCCCCATGCGGGGCTCGATCCTAGGACCCCAGGATCATGACCTGAGCTGAAGGCAGATGCTTAATGACTGAGCCACCAAGGCATGCCTGTGTACTTTTAAAAATATATATATTTTGGATACTAACTCATTTATTTATTCATGAGAGAGAGAGAGAGAGCCAGTGAGAGCACGAGGGGGGAAGGGTCAGAGGGAGAGGGAGAAGCAGACTCTTTCCTGGGCAGGGAGCCCAAGAAATGACAGATGCAGATGCGGGGCTCAATTCCAGGACCCTGGGACCATGACCTGAGCTGAAGGCAGACTCTTAACCAAATGAGCCACCCAGCCACTCGTTGGATACTAAGTCTTTATCAGATATGTCATTTGCAAATAACTTCTCCCATCCCATAAGGTTGCCTTTTAGTTTCATTGATTGTTTCCAACACTGGTTGTTCTATAGGCTGTCACCCTGGCACTTTTTCCTTTAATACTTTCTTGTGTTGATTTAGAAGAATCCAATCTATTCTTTTTGTTAGTTTACTCCCTTATTTAACTGACATCCATCTCTCAATAGTTTCATAAAGATGATTCAGAGGAGGTGAAAATTTTTGAAAACTTGCTTAGTACAGGACTCTTGTTTTTCTTTTCATGTGATTGATAGTTTGGCTATAAAATTCAAGCTCAAAAATAATTTTCCATCAGATTTTGAAAGCAGTGTTAGTTTTACCGATTGCATATAAAGTTGCTGTTCAGAAGACTGATTCCCTTCTTATTCTTTCTTTTAAAGATTATTTATTTTGAGAGAGACAGAGCACATGAGGGTGGGAAGGAGCAGAGGGAGAGAATCTTCAAACAACTTCCTGCTGAGCACAGCGCCTGAAGCTGCGCTCAGTTTCACAACTTCTGAGATCATGACCTGAGCCAAAACTGATTCAGAAGCTTAACTGACTGAGCCACACAGGTCCCCTTCCCTTCTGAATCTTAGCTCTTTTAATGTCACTCCCATTTTTTCATCCTGGAAATATGAAAATATCTGAGTATCAGTTATTTATCTATTCATCTATCTAGTCTTAAGGGTGTACCCTATTAATATTTAAACTCTCACTTTCAGTTCTGAGAAATATTTTTGTTATATTTTTATCATAATTTCTCCCTTGAATTTTCTACATTCTCACTTTAACCAGAATTTCATTATTTAAAGATTGGATCTCTTGGATTGATATGCTAAAACACTAATTTTTTTCCTTTCTTATTTTCTGTCTCTTGCTCTACTTTATGGACAATTCATTTTATCATCCAGCCTTTGTATTTAAGTTGTTCTTTTTGACAGACAATATTTATTTTTAAGAGTCCTTTTTGGTTCTCTGAGTGTTTTCCATATTATTCTGTTATAGATGTGTCAATGTGTTATCTTCCCTCATCTATAATTAGTTTATTTTAAAAAATACATTATACAAAAGAGCATTATTCAGTAAAAAACTACTGTTATACCATTATTAAAATGAGAGTGAGTTACATGGAAGTTAAGAAGAACTTATCCAAGGTTGGGGGACCTGGGTGGCTCAGTGGGTTAAAGCCTCTGCCTTCAGCTCAGGTCATGATCCCAGGGTCCTGGGAGCCCCATAGAGCCCCACATCAGGCTCTCCGCTCAGCAGGGAGTCTGCTTCCCCCCACCCTCTCTCTGCCTACTTGTGATCTCTGTCTGTCAAATAAAAATAAAATCTTTTAAAAAAAGAACTTATCCAAGGTTATATAGCTAGTAAGGGGCACTGAAGCCCTAAATCTCAATCTTACAATAAGAATACATACTGCATGCAGTTACTGTTAAGTGAGTAGACACATATGTGTCACTTAGTACAATGAGTATCACATAATAATTCTCAGTAAGTATTAGCTCTGCTTAGATTTTACTATTCTGGGGATATTAATCAGACATTTTTATTTTTTTTAAATCAGACATTTTAAAAGACTTTCTTCTGTTTATTATATCTATTTCTTCCTGTTCCTTTTTGTTTTGTCTTTTTGGTGATGGTGGTTTGACATTTCCAGTCATGTTATTGGCATTTCCTCAAATGTCCTGTTGTCCTGGGCAATCTTCTCATATTGAAAAATGGTGAGACACCCTCCTGTCAGCTCTTTATGAAGACATGAGTGAGATGTATTGATGGTAGAAATTCATTCTAATGTAACCATGCTAGGGTAGGGCTATTAACTTGGGAGGCCCCCTCCAAATATCAGTGTGTAAGTCTTTATCTGAGCTTTTCATATTCTCCAGGTTGAAATTCTACAGTATCTTCTGTGGTAAGGAAAGTTAGAGAGAAGGTCAGGTGTAAACCTTGTGTCCTACAACCAGAGAGTATCACATGGTAAGGGTAATCTGGAAATCTCATCATTCAGAATGCAAAATTTTGCCTAACTTCCCTCTTTTAAGTTTTGCACCTCAACTTGCATTCAGCTCTGCCTAAGGCCTCCAAAACTAGGGATAGTCCCATTTAATTTCTCCAAGGAACTAACATCCCATTCTCTGCCTCTGAGATACTTTCCTGTCTGTGTAGGATGGTGAGAGGATCAGGGTATTCAACTCTCCCATTTACATACTGTCACCTGATAATTTCTTTTTCAGTTCTTAACTGACACTTGGCTCTTCCAAATCTTTATTTTTAAGATTTTTATTTATTTATTTGACAGAGAGAGATCACAAGTAGGCAGAGAGGCAGGCAGAGAGAGAGAGAGAGGAGGAAGCAGGCTCCCTGCCCAGCAGAGAGCCCAATGTGGGACTCGATCCCAGGACCCTGAGATGATGACCCGAGCCGAAAGCAGAGGCTTAACCCACTGAGCCACCCAGGTGCCCTCTTCCAAATCTTTTTTTGAAAAAGATTTTATTTATTTATTTGACAGAGAGAGAGACATGGCAAGAGAGGGAACACAAGCAGGGGGAGTGGGAGAGGGAGAAGCAGGCTTCCTGCTAAACAGGGAGCCCCATGCGGGCTCCATCCCAGGACCCTGGGATCATGACCTGAACCAAAGGTGGAAGCCCAATGACTGAGCCACCCAGGCACCCTGGCTTTCCAAATCTTGTACCTAAAGGAGATATTATAGAACAAACCCATTAGTCTTGTGTGAATATCTCCAATGCAGGAACTTTATATGTTTTTTGGAACTGCTAATTCAATTGCTCTTTTTTTCTATTTTCTGTCATCAAAATTATGGGTGTTCACTTGTGCATTCTTAGTATTTATTTGCACTTTATGATTGTAGTCAACCCACATATTTTTCTATTTCTATCCTTTTGTAGTGATCAATTTTTCACTAATGTGTCCTACATTTTTTAAAAATGTAATTTGAACTTATCATTTTTTTAAGATTTTTCATTTATTTGACAGAGAGTGAGAGAGGGAACACAAATGGGGAGTAGGAGAGGGAGAAGCAGGCTTCATGCTGAGCAGGGAGTCTGATGTGGGGCTCGATCCCAGGACCCTGGGATCACGATAAGCCGAAGGCTGACGCTTAACACTTGAGCCACCCAGGTGCCCCTGAACTCATCATTCTTAAAAATTTATTTATTTATTTATTTATTTATTTATAGATTACAAGTAGGCAGAGAGGCAGGCAGAGAGAGAGGAGGAAGCAGGCTCCCTGCTGAGCAGAGAGCCCGATGTTGGGCTCCATCCCAGGACCCTGGGACCATGACCTGAGCCAAAGGCAGAGGCTTTAACCCACTGAGCCACCCAGGCAGCCCCGAACTTATCATTTTTAAGTGAAAAATGTTGAGATACCTCCTCAATCCGTTCCTGAGAGCATTACTGAGACTTCATATCATTGGTGAGCTTCTAGCATCTATTTCAAACAATTTCCCTCAACCTTGCACTTTGGCTAGGACTCAAACCACCCAAAACTTAAAAAGTCCCAGCAGTTTTAAAACAAAGCAAAGGCCAAAGATGGGTTTTCAGATTCTGAGACTAAAATCTCCCCCTATAATTATATACCTCTATACCTTTTGAAATAATGATTGCTTCAAAAGCAAGAATATGATCTTAATTGATTAGTCACTAAAACTAAGTTTTTGCTCTATGATTGGTAAAGAGAATGTCTCTTTTTGGGGGCTGAAAGAGAAAACAGGTGACCGTAGTTGTAGCTGAGTAAATCTCATGAACCTGAGGGAAGGTGGTTTTAGGAGTTAGCCTGATTTAAATGAAAGTAAACATATTTGTGTTTGTGTACTTATTAAATACTTTGGGTATCCCGCGTTTCAGCACCAAAATAAATAAATACTTTGGTAAATTATGAGAAACTAGAACTAAATTGTGACTTTATCTAATGTGTTCCACCCCAGTATTTTACTTCATTTTCTCTCAGTTCATAGTTCACTGCTGTGAAGGAAACCTGCAGACATAACTTCTTGCCCTGTAACAACTATCTATTTGTGTTTCAGCTCACGGTTTAGCCAATTCATATCCTCTGAGAGGACTCCCAAAGTGACTCATGTATACTTTCCTTTCCAGTACAACCCAAAGGCGGCCAAGTAGTGATGCAATCTTGTTTCAGGTTTTCAATCTTCTCAAAAGATTACAAACTCCTGGGGGCCAGGAATCACATCTTGTACTTAAAACAATACTAACAGCACCAGGAACTTTAAAGAGTATAAAACAGTTCTTATGGAAGATAGAATATATTTGTGATCACTTAAACACAATGAGTAAAACAACATTTGTTTCTAAAGGACATTGATAATTATGGAATTAGGTAGCTTTCGTGAAACTGAAAATCTCTATAGAGACGCATGGTGGCGCTGCAGGATAACATCGGCGGTGTAAAAACACTGAACTGGACGGTGTTCTGGACTCGGTTACCCACCCGGTGCGCTCAGAGCGGTGGGAAGACAGAAAGGACACGCCTTCAAGGTGCGAACTACAAGCTACTCAACAGGGTTAAAATCCTTAGGCCTCCTAAGATTAGGTGGACATTAGCAGAGACACGTTTCCCAAAACTGCGAAGAGAAGCTGAAGCGATTATGCAGGAAGCTTTCCTTAAAGGAGCTATGGAGAACGGAAGGGCAGACACTCTGCAGATAAGGCAAGTCCTGCTTCTTTTTGTTTTGCTAGGAATGTCTCAGGCGGGTTCCGAATCTGGGCACTTTTCGGTGGCAGAGGAAATGCAGAGCGGAAGCTTTGTAGGCAATTTGGCAAAGGACCTGGGACTAGAAGTGGGTGAGCTGTTCTCAAGGGGGGCTCAGGTGGTCTCTAATGATAACAAAAGACGTTTGCAGCTGGACATAAACACCGGAGATTTGCTCTTAAGCGAATCACTAGACCGGGAGGAGCTCTGTGGCTCCACGGAGCCCTGTGTGTTGCATTTCCAGGTATTAATGAAAAACCCTTTGCAGTTTTTACGAATTGAGCTCCAGGTCAGGGATATAAATGACCACTCTCCCGCCTTCTTAGAAAAAGAAATGCTCCTAGAAATCCCAGAGAATAGTCCTGTTGGTGCTGTGTTCTTACTAGAAAGTGCGAAGGATTTAGATGTAGGAATCAACGCTCTAAAGAACTACACAATAAGCCCCAACTCTTATTTCCACATTAAAATGAGAGTCAATCCAGACAATAGGAAATATCCGGAGTTGGTTCTGGACAAGGCACTAGATTATGAAGAGCAGTCCGAGCTCAGTTTCATCCTCACTGCTATGGATGGCGGGTCTCCGCCCAGGTCCGGGACTGCCACGGTTCGGGTCATGGTTGTGGACACTAATGACAACTCCCCTGAGTTTGAGCAGCCATTTTATGAGGTGAAGATTCCAGAGAATAGTCTATTAGGCTCACTCATTGTCACCGTCTCAGCTTCGGATTTAGACTCCAGAAAAAATGGAGAAATATCATATTCTTTTTCCCATGCCTCAGAAGATATTCGCAAGACATTTGAAATTAATCAAAAGTCGGGAGAAATCATTTTAACCTCACCCATGGATTTTGAAACAACTGAATCATACTCAATAATCATTCAAGCCACAGATGGGGGCGGTCTCTTTGGAAAATCAACAGTCAGAATTCAGGTGATGGATGTGAATGACAATGCTCCTGAAATCGCTGTGTCATCAATTACCAGTCCAGTCCCAGAAAATTTGCTGGAGGCTGTGGTTATGGTTTTTAGCATCCGAGACAGAGACTCTGGGGACAATGGGAAGATGATTTGTTCTGTCCCAGAAGACCTCCCTTTCATACTAAAATCTTCCGTTGAGAATTACTACACACTGGAAATAGAGGGGATGTTGGACAGAGAGAGCCAGGCCGAGTACAACATCACCATCACCGTCACCGACCTGGG